CTCAAATCTGCTTAGTGTCACTCATTCCTGCCTTGTTTCTTTTATGCTATTGTCGGCATTACACGTGTAGAGTGCAACCAATGATAAGTCTAATTTGTAATTTATCTTGCTAACCACTGCATTATGCATTGCTTAAATTTGTGTATAAAAAGACTTGTCCCTTGCTTGTTTTTTATCTTTATTGTCTTATTTTTAAACAATTCATCTGCTATGAACACAAACAACAAACCAACATCAACCCCTTATCTGAAGATGAAAAACAAACCAATGTATTTGCACATCCACATTTCAGGACTTAAGGTCCCATTGTCCTTTAGTATTAGTATTAGGGAATTTCAAAAATCGGCCAATAATTCAACTACATGTCAAGCAAAAACGTTTACTCTGCTAAAAAGTCTTGGCAAGATGTATTTATGCATAGTCCAGTTGCTATGATCTATGTCATGACAATATGACAGAAGATATCCAGATTATTGAGCAAGAGAATTTCTTTCTTCAGGAAACAATGCCACAAAGACAAATATATCATTATGTAAATTAACCGACTCATTTGATAATGCCAAAGATTGTTCTCTCCAACTGCTCATCAGCAGCACAAGCAGGTGTTGTAACAACACGTAATTCCATATATCAATATTATCCAATAGTCTGCTGCGGCTAATGTTCACAAGATAGTATACTAGTCACAAGACTGCTGATTTTTTTAAATATTACTATTAAGCCACAAGCGTTGAAAAAGCACGAGAGATGGAGGCTGAGCAGCAGTTCAGGAATGCGGAGGATGCGTTGCGGGAATTTGAAGACGGCGAAGCGCAGGGGATGCTGTTGGGGAAGCTGAGGTTGATGTGGTTGCGCGAAGGGCTAAATGAGGGGCAGCAGAAGTTGTGGGATATACTGGAAGAGGAGAAGAAGAGTCTGGAAGAGAATGTTAGGGAATGTAGGCAGCACGTACAAGAGCTGCAGCGAGCCCATGCAGCGGCAGCTCCTCAGACAGGTAACAACTTTGTGACTCGGACGTTGGAGACATAGAGTCATGCATACATAGGGTAGAGTAGACGTAGCAATATGGGTTTGTAATATACAGGGGGGTATCAAAAGTATTGCACGCTTTTATTTTTACGATATTGGAAAAAAATTTCTATGTAATAAAAAAACTAACTTTTGGACCACTTACTATTAATGTTAATTTAATATAGCGTGTCATTATGAGCAGAATAATTAATTAGTAAAAAGCCCAATTTTCTGCTTTGGCGCATAGATGAGTCTTGCTAGAGAGCTTATTCCACATAACGACAATAAAAAAACTAGCTAGCCAAGAACACAACAATCGCAAAAATGATAAGAAACCATCGCACAACAGTTCCAACGGGTTTTCGGAGCTTGCTACTATGAATCAGGGAAAACTTCGAAAGTATGAACAATGCAATGCGCTTTTGCAAAAGTATATCGTAATTGATATTATTCATGCTCAACCAAATTTAAGCTGCAAATGGAGGAAATAGAAATATTAAATATTAATGTTTACTTTAAGCAAATAAAATTTTTTGGGAGGTTTGAGTAAAAATTTTTTCCAATATCGTAAAAATAAAAGCGTGCAATACTTCTGTAGTTTATTAGAAAATGTTACAACCACATTAATTTCTATCTCTAATTTGTGCCTTGTTCGCCATCAGCAGGAAAGCGCAAATGCCAGGAAGAACTCAAAGGTTCGCTTCTTTACGACTGAAGTTTTACACGGGTAATCACTTTTTCTCTTATGCTTTTGTTTATCAGAAAATGCTCTCGAACGAACGACGAAGCGCATTGCATCTATGGGATCTGCATCTGGTTTTGCTGAGCCAGAACATTGGATTCCGAAGTTGAACAGGCCTGATCCACCACTATTGAACTGCCGACCTCCACAGAATTTCGATGTACCAGTTGTCTTGTATCATTCAGTTTTTGGGGAATTTCTTAAAAATTGCGAGTATTACCAAACATCAGCAGACGACAAGAACATGGTTTGTGACCTGCTATGGACTATGAGTGGCACCTTTAAAAACAAAGACGCTCGAGTACTTGCTTTCAGAGAGTGGGCGACAACGTTTTTTGTCCGTGACACGACATCGTATGTCTTAGGGCAACAGAGAGTCGATGGCGTCTGGATCAAAGAATACAGTGGACGAAGTGTGTTGTTAACCATTTTGGAATTCAAGAACGAGTGCTCACAGCGCGATCCATACATGCAAGCAAGCGCGTACTATGCAAAGTACTTTGAACAAGTATATGCACAAAAGACATCCATCCTTTTGGATACGTGTCTGCCAACTTTCCTCGTTTACCTCTACGAACCTTACATTGGAATCGCTGGTGCAACAATGGGACAATGCATCACAATTAGTCCGCTTGTGGAAGGGTCGCTAATTTTGAGGCATGAGAAATCCTGGCTAAACAAAATGACGCGGATTTTCTGTGCTTTACGGTTACGACATTATCACAGAATGCTTGGACGGGTATTGAAACAAGACAGGCAAGCTTTCCTTACTTGCATTCCTATCAATCGATATCTGAAGAAACTGTCGACTTTGTGTATACGGAGCGCATTGACAGCAAACACCGAAAACTTGTTTTTCACGTGGAGGAATCAAAGACCACAACAAAGCGCATATTGAAGTTTGTTACTTCATATAACGCGGAGGTACATAAATTCTGCTTCAGCAAAGGGATCGCACCAGAACTGGTGTGCATTGGCGATATCATGAACGCGGACTACAAATTTGTTGTCATGGAGGATCTTATTGGGTTTGATGTTGTATGCAACATGTGGAATGGATTAAATGAGCAAGAGAAAACAGACCTGAAGGCGAAGATTTTAGAAGCGAAAGGAATTCTTCATGACAATCGTCTTGTGCATGGCGATCTTCGTCCCGTCAATATCATGGCAAAGTACACAAATGAAGAATGGGTCATAAAGCTTGTAGATTTCGACTGGTCAGGCAAGGAAGGTGAGGCGACATACCCCCAGTTTCTGAACACCAAAATTCCTTGGCATCCAGATGTGAAAAGGCTTGGACCTATCTGGTGCGAACATGATACATACCTACTAGAAGAGAGCTTTCGCAAACTAGAATAATATTTTAATTTCTATTGAAACATAGTGTAAATTGACTTGTTCTACAACTAGTATCGTCCATAAAGAATGTCGGATCAAATTTAGATCTAAGTTTTAGTTACATTATTTTGACTCTTTAGTTGCAATCCAAAGTAGCAAAATGAAAACAAAGCTCATAGACTATGACCTTGATTATGCTTGCCATTTAACAACTACAAATACACTGTACTGTGATTGCTTTAATATTGTGTTAATATAATATGATGCGGACAATTTGTGGCAGCACTAGCACGCCCAATTGTTGCTGAACCCAGTTCCAGCACCATTAAAGCAAGCTTAAATGTCTGTAATTCAACATTGCCAATACGGAAAGCGTGAGTATAAAATATTTACAGCACTTTGTGACAATGTAAAGAGTCACCCCTATAATTAACTGATTTACCAATTCAAAGTGGGCCATATAAATACTAACCATTTAAGCAAAACCTTGGAAACAAATGAATGAGAATCGCGTTAACGGTTTCCCTTGTGCACGAGACGTAGAAGTAATGGAATTACAATTGTCGTTTAACAATGCGTATTCTACGATGAGTGCATGATTAATAAGAATAGCCCTATATAAATTGCAGATACCCATTATTAAATTTACGTTCAGGGATTTTCCACCTCACCTGATGACATGCGTTAATACTACTTGGCAAGACACGCTGTAAAAAGACTTTTATCTATTAATAGACCTGTAGCATTTGTGATTTGCTTGGCGAGCGACTATATCTGGACACATCTTTTAGTGTGCATGATATATGCACGTATGGGACACAGGTTCCCAATTATCAATACAAATAAAGATCTATTACAAGTATGACAAAATTTTTTTCTGTTGCTACTAATACTAATAAAGCGAGTTGATTCAGACAATGAGAGAATGATGCTAATCGGTTGCGTTCCCTTAAATTAGCGAGTTCCCCTGAACAGAAAAGCTGGTCGTTGATTGGATTGTGTTTCGTTTAGCTATTCATTATTTTACATTATTACATCTGTGCATTTGTAACAAGGGATCAAATACTATGGTATCATTGGTTTGTTATTGTTAATGTTTTATTTGCATTTCGACATTCGAAAAAATGAGATAAGAGAAAGGAAAAAAAATAAAGATTGCAATCGAGGTATATCAAGCATTGCACATAAAGCAATATCTTTATCTATATTAAGCAATTTCATTCTAAAAACAATGTTTCCGTATGAGGGAATCAAGTAATTTAAATCGTCGGACTAGCACAGCAAAGGAGACGCAGTATACGAAACACAGTGATGATACGATTGTCCGTTGTATGTTATGTCAAGTGAACGTTTGCTTATTATTATTGTTTACTGTGGCGTGTCAATGATAACGATAATGTTACATTGTAATAACCAAACCAGGATATACTTTCCTATTTATAAAGATTACGTGTACGCACGTGTAACAATCATTACTAAGCCCCGATTGATGTAACGGTCTTCACGAGCGAGCATGCTTTTTATTTAACATTTTTATGTAAAATAATGTCCAATATTAAAGAAATAAGAAATAAATTATGTCATTATAAAGTTGGCTAGAGTTTTATTCTCTGGCCGATTGAATTGCCCAGGGATCCGATATCAAGACCAGGTATTGCTGGTACTTTTCCATCCTGTACAAAGAAAAATAGATTCAATCCGTTAATCAATTGATCAACCATCGCATCGGGTTACAAATGATTCAAGAAGAGCAACAGATTGACTCACCTGAATCGGACAATTAATGTTTGTATCGCGATTAGAACTAATCGTGAATGGGATTGCTAGTACTTTCAGGCTGAGTTTCAACGTATAATTGATTTGGATTGGCTGTGGCTTGCTACCAGTGAGACCACACTTCTTGACTATATCGTTGATGATAGCCAGGTTGGGATCATCTGTTGAATTATAGTTGATTGAGAAGGGGAAATTTAACGTCGTATTGGATTTAGCCTTGATCTGTACGTTGTCTAGACGACCACCCCCAATCGGGTTATTATGACCAGGATAGAATGCCTGGAAAAGAAAGGAAATGTGACAAGATTAGCAACATGTCATGTAGTAAGTAATAATAAAGTACTCGAATAAATCAATCAGATAAAATACGCATTGTTGCATGGTTTCCAGACATGGACTACCTTCATACTACTATGCTTGATGTAATTACCGTTGCTTGTATCCTGGAGAACGTCGCTCCAATGATGTTTGGATTTATGACATTAAACCGAAGTCCCAAGTTAAAATCTAATGCGGTACCCTTATTTACATATGACGGCTTTCCATCAGGCGATGGTGTCGTACCCAAGAACTGAACCGTAGGTCTCTTTCCGAGTACTAATACTGTAATAACCAATGCCAAGATAACCAGAAATATAATGCAGCAAATGATGCCACACCACTTGCCACATCCTTTGCAACAACAAATGCCACTCATGAATTTATACTTTTTCTTCTTCCCCCGGTCGAGGGGCCCGGAACCACCATATTCTTTAGAGTATAATTCCGACTCTCTGCCACCGTAATCAGCTGGTTTGGACGGAACGGGTGCATCTCGATTATCTCCCCCACCATTGTGTAACTGTACAGTCGATGCGTAATCTTCTGGGTATGATGACGAGTAATAGTTTGTTGGCGGTTGTTGGTAGGGCTGTGGGTCATCGAATGGAGTGTCGTAAGGATTTTGTGTGTTGGATGTTGGGGGAGGGTAGGCACTTCCGGGTGATGAATAACCGGTATTATATGATGGGTCGTGGCCGTATGATGTGTCGTGGCCATATGAAGTATCTTGTCCGCTATAATTTGTGTTGGCACCGTATCCCTCTTGGGAATATTGTGGATAAGAGGTTTGCTGTTGCGGGTAGTAGGTTTGGTTTTGTGAAGGTTGGTAGGCCATGATGTATATAACCCAAGAGTATGAACGAGTATGTTATTATGTCTTGGGGGGTTTCCTTTACAATATATATGTGTGTGCGTGTGCGTGCGTGAGTGAGAGTGCGTGAGTGAGAGTGCGTGAGTGAAAGTTATTAGCTATAGGACTACCAGAGCTCCCGTTCTTTATTTGTATTCCTGCTTATGAAATACCTCGGATATAAAAAATCAACTTATTCAACAGTAACAGAACCAAACATGAGAGTGTACACTGTTTATAAAGTCGTTGTATGTGGCTCGGCTATATATTCTCCTTGTTTACGATTACAAGCCTCAAATGTCAACAAGAGTTGCTTGGGGGAGAGGGGGGGGGGTATATAAATGGCGGGGTAGCCAGTTAGGAGTGATGGCTACAAGTGACAAAAGGAGTAAGGAAAGAAAAGGGTTGCGGGTTGTATGAAACAGCCAGTGTTGTCACAAGGTTTGGTTATTCTCAGCACCAAAAACCAGAATTTAATAATCACGGCTATGTTTAGCAACGAGTAATGATGAATTTATCCCTGTACGAAATGGATTTAGTGACATAATAAAATGAATTGATTGAATTGCCGATCACTGCACTGCACTGCCAGTTATGGAACCTCATTTATACAGAGCACAAAAGGAGGTTAGTGCGCAAGAATATAGAACAAAAATGCCAAGGCCAATGACGCAGAGATGGCAGAAAAGGGGCAAATTTAAAAAATAGAATCGAGGTTAATAAATTCTATTGTTAATGTATTCGTATATTTTACATATCAATATATACATACACATATATACAGTATGTGCAAGTCTCCATTTAGAATCTGACTTGCCATATCAAGCAAAGAAAAGATAAAATTACATGACCGAACAATATAAAGGCATTCTTGAAATTCCCCGGTAATTGTAATCGCATGACGGTTTATTAAAGACAACAATAAAATCTCTTGCTGCGGACGCACTCCGATTACTAGATGACTTGTTCGTACATAGTGGATACAATCGAGAATAGCACTCTTGCTAGCATGGGTTTTGCTCAAGAATGGAATGGTTACATGTAGTGAACGGCGGTTTATCTATGGTTTTTACCATGTCCGCAAGTTCTAGATTTAGTAAACAATATTTATCGAATTTAAGTCCGTTTCCTGAATATGTCTAAATTCTTTCCGTCGGATAACGGTTGCCAATTTCGGAAACAAGCTATGAGAGGAAGGGGGGAGAGGACGCGTTTCCTTTTAATTGATGTCGCACTCGAGTACAAACCTTATTACCCTTCAAGAGTAAACACACATGATCAATATGCAGTATAATTATTCACAATTACATTGTCCACTGTCAATTCACACAAATGCCCATATCACTAGTATTGTCATAGTGCAATCAGATAGTTTGGATTGTGCTAATATACACGTGATCTTACAAGGTTGGTGATTATACTTCAGATACTTGTTATTATTATTATGTACGATAAAGTTCTTTTATCCGTTCAAACTACGTGTACAGCATATGGTTAATATTATAACAATAATAATAGCGACAACACATTTAAGTTTATTACAGACATTTTAGCTAACATCGATATGCTATGTCTTGCGGTGTGGCATGCAACAATTGAATTGAAGAACCCGAAATTTTAAGTGCTTGTTGCAATTTACGTCATGCCTTTAGTCCTTGGCCAACCAAGATCTCATGCGTAGATGTGAGATTGATAATCGTCACTTTTTTTTTCCCCGAAACATTCCATTAGACGATCAACCAATCATGGCTCTTAGAAAAGATAATTTCTGAAAAATAATAAATAATACAACATTTTGACGGTAGTTTTTGTCCACTACATACGCTCTCACTATGAAACAAATAGTAGGGAGAATATCACAACATGGGACATACTCATTTCGTATTTATTACCGATCCATCACCGGTATGTATTGTCGTCTCGTCTGGCTCTTTATCTCGCTTACTATCGTCTCACATAACTGCTCCATTACAGACGCATTACCTCATTCGAGGATATCCCTACAGCAAAGATCAATAGACCAGTCACGCAAATACACGCTTTCTTCAATTAATCATCAACAACAAAATCCAATTCTACGTTCTTCCTTTACAACCCACAATTTCAACGCGTGCCATTCACTCCCACTTTCCACTCGCTGTCTTCTCCATACTTCGACATGCTCTCCCTATCGTGATCTGCCTCGGGAACTACGCATGTTTCGCAATGATGCTGGTTCACATGCGCATCCTATAAAAGAAGTGCAGGAGCAAGAGACAATAACACACAAGGCAGCTCAATTCGCAAAAGAAGAGGCAAAAATGACCGAGCGAGCTACGAATTCTGCCAAAAAGAAGCCAATGCTGATACGTGTAAAAGATGAATTGGTACATTATTGGCATGGAACTAAATTATTAGGCTTGGAAATTAAGATTTCAACCAAGTTGCTATACAGGTTATTGAAAGGCGAGAAATTGACCAGAAGAGAAGTCAGGCAGGTATGTCTGTGAGAGAAAAGCTCTGCGTGTTTTCTTTGATCCACCACAATATACATTATTGATCCAAAGACTATCAATTTACCTTAGCTCAAAAGAACAACTCAGGACTTGCTCCGCCTGGTTCCATTTGCTGTCTTTATTGTCGTCCCCTTTATGGAGTTCTTACTTCCAGTAGCTCTCAAATTGTTCCCCAACATGTTACCAAGCACGTTCGAAGACAAATATGCTCGTGTAAGTTATTGGAATCAATTCGTCGTTCACGTGCTCGCCATTGAATTAACATAACCCCATCACGATCGTAGGACGAGAAGAAGAGAAAGCTTTTAAAGGTTCGATTAGAAATGGCTAAATTCCTCCAAGAAACTATTTCCGAGGCTGGAATCATGAAGGCAGATCAGGCTGATGCAGCAAAAGAATTTACCGAATACTTTCGAAAGGTATTTATTTACTAATTTCGAATCGCAAAATGTAGGGAGAATTTGTAAAGCGTTCATAATCACAAGCGCCGCGATATGATGATTAATCGTTCCCGCTCGAACTCAACCAAGGTTCGCTCGACGGGAGAACAAGCATCGACCGAGGATCTTCTTCGTATTGCCAAAGTATTCAAAGACGACTTTATGTTGGACAATTTGTCGCGACCACAGTTGGTCAGCATGTGTCGCTATATGAATATCAATGCATTCGGTACAGATAACTTTTTGAGATATCAGATAAGTAATCGTATGAGAGTAATCAAGGAAGACGACAAGGTGAGAGGAAGCGAAAACAAACTTGCAAATTTTATTACAGTCACACCTGAGTTGTATCTCCATTGGGTTGTATCCCCTTTTATTCCCACACTCAGTTTGAGATGGACGTCCTTATGGCATGTCATCTACATTCAGTTGTATCCAAAAAGTCAGGACAAATGTAAGGGGGATATGATTCGGGTATAACCCAGGTATGACTGGATAATTGCATGTATTCACATTCGACCTCTGTTTTCTTACCTCTAATGCACTTTTATTTTTTTGAAAAAAGCTGATCATGTTCGAAGGCGTAAACTCATTAACAGTACAGGAACTCCAACATGCATGCCAGTCACGCGGTATTCGTACCATTGGCGTGTCTCCCACTCGCTTAAGAAGTGAACTGAATCAATGGCTAGACCTTCATTTAAACCACAAAGTGCCCTCTTCCTTGTTAATACTTTCACGCGCATTTAGCTTTGCTGACCGGCTGGAACTGGCTGACCAAGCAGAAGCATTACAAACGACATTGTCTAGCTTACCGGACAGCTTGGTGAGTTTTGTGGAGGGGGATGGCTGACTATGCATGAAATAGTAGAATGATCGAAACGAGATACGCTAAAACAGTAGTTAATCGACCACGTTAATTTGACCCCTACTGATTGATAGGTTCACGCCGCTCAACTGCAAGTGTCGGAGGCAACATTTAAAGAAAAGCTAGAACTTATCGAAGAGCAAGAGGATCTTATTGCTGAAGAGAAAGCTCAAGAAGAGGTATGGACTATGTAATACTGAGGGGCGAGAATCCACAGTCGGTTGGTAATTTTTTTTTACATTACACGTCCATTCGAATCAATAGAAAGAAGAGGCCGCACGGAAAGCCGAAAAAGAAGCGGCACGGAAAGCCGAAAAAGAAGCCGAAGAAGCGGCACGAGAAGCAGCGCTTGCCGATAAACTGTTACCAGATACAACTGTGAAATTCGTGCGTATTTTTGAAATCCGAAATGCATCCTTCATAAACCAATTTACAAGCGCTAATTTAATCGTTACATGACAGGAGGACGAGGAAGATGTGCGCATGTCTAAGCAGCAGCTTCAAGAGCTTCGCGAAGCTTTGTCGATCTTGTCGTCTAAATCAGCAGTTCTTGAAGAGCGAGAAGCTCTCCATGAACTCAAAGAAGACCGCGAAGAATACAAAGAAGTAACTGTCTCCCATTTATTATTATAACTCGCTTCCAACATTTTTTTACCGCTTGTTGCTCTAACCATTTCTTAAATGTTGCAGGACATGCAAGAGCTTCATGAAATCGGCGGGGAAGAATCCAAAGTCTCACATCGTCTTGGAGAACGTTTAGAGAAAATGATAGAAAAGATTGATAGAGAGCTCGAACAGTACGACTCGGAAGTTGGATCCAAATTCAATCGAATTCAAGCCAACGAGTCTGGGCAGATACGGGTATCTGACCTCGAAGAGGCGTTGCGAACTATCAAACATGCCCCAGGCGACAGTGAGCGGATCAAGAAGATTGTGAAAAAATTAGATGTAGACAACGACGGGTTGGTTTTCTTGGATCATATTCGTGAGCTTGCGACCGAAGGAGAAGGATTGGGTGTGTTGGTTGAGGATGAAAAGGACGAAAAGGTTAAAAAGCCAAAGAAGGAAGATATCGTAAAAGAGGACTGAAGATGTATTGCCAGTAGTAGATTGCTTATATATCTTATAGAGTTCAATAACTAGTATTAATAAAAGACTTTATTTCATTGTACAATATGAAATGATTGGATACGCTTGCCCAGAACGTCGTCTTGGAGCACTTTTGGATAATTAGGCTCTTTCTAATACTTCCATTATTACAACTGAATTACCGCGAATAACCTAAAGAGAGAGGTCAAATTAATATCGAAAACTCGCAGTACCTAGTCCAAGGGCTATTAGAGATCAAAACTCACCACCATTCCAATATTGTGCCTCTCTGCGGGAGATATCTCTTCGACTGTCTCGTCCACTACAAGATTCATAAACGGATCATAGCCTCGCAGTATTCCAGTTACCTTTCGTCCGCCATTAAGCTGGATAAAGAGCTTCTTTTCCATATATCTAGAGGAGATTGGCTTAAACAAATCAGCGCCTTCATGACACACGTGTTAAGGATACTTTACATTATTAACCAAACGTACTTTTTTAACTCTGGTTGTGAGGCTTTTGACATTTTTGAACGATAGAATTGATGCTTGTAGAGGCAAATGAAAAAATAGCGCGAATCAACAAACAAACAAAGTTTGCAGATTTAGTGTAACAACGTGATTTCCTTATCATCATGCCAAGGAATATATGAAGGTCGAGGAAAAGTATGGCATTCTCATCGCCTAAAACTGCTTTATACGCAGGTAGTTGACTCCTAACAACAGTAGCACCAGCGTGGTGGACGTACTTCACAACGATGTCGTTAGGACCGAATAGGGCAATAAAGAGCTTGATTAAATCATTGAACCGTAAACATTCTGATATCAACTGGATTTCTTCCTCAGCTATTACCAACATAAGGTCAAGTCAAACTAACTACGTCCATTACGCTCTATGGAGGGGAAGAATGATAGTGTTGACATTACTTGGAAGTAGGGAAGAATGTACACAAACACTTGTGAGAGAGTTCGCTAGAATATACTCACTTCTAACACGCAACTACAATAACGTCAGTCAGTTTAGACGGGATAAGAATGGCTTGACGGTCGCAACAAACCCATAAAGGGTTTTACCGAGTATGACAGCAGCTTTTATATGGTTGCTGATAAACGCTTTTATTATTACTATTCTCGACATGGATTCTGCTCCGCATGTGGAATACTCCGATGTAGTCCCGTGTGGTGCATTTGTGGACATAAACAATTATCTGATGGATGGACCAGCAACAACGAGCAACTCGATGAATTTATTAAGAAATCTCAATTACAAACAAACTCACCAAATCAACCCTATTTGGAATGGATTCCATTCGATTGCATTGAATATTATAATAATGGATTTGGTGTACGCTTATACGATGGGTCTCGTTTTTCTGTTGAAGTAAGATTGGTTCCACTTGAAATAACAGATGAGACAGATAATTCATATTATGACAAGGTAAAGTATTTCAATTATGTATTATGTGTGTTGAACTGTTTGGGTAATTATTGACTCACTATAATGTATCATTTCCACTAGTTATGTTATGAGCATCCAGATATTCTTATCAAAGATGTTCGGGCTGTCATTGGATTTACATATGGTATACGTGAACAAAAGTATTGTCTAATAAAACTAAAAAGCCCAAATGGATTGTGTCTGGTGTGTGGAGCACTTATTCAACATAATATAATTGAATTTTGTTTCAAATGTAAAGCACCACGTATGCGTCCTCTTAACTGGCCAAATGGCAACAAGTCTTTGGATTTGTTTATTGTGGAATCATGTAAGAATGCAAAAAATGAATATGATGCTTATATACAATGGATAGAGTATTCTCAATTGACAAACATACAAGAGATGACTTCATTACACTATGGATGCACACATATAGCAAATTGGTTAGAACTGATAACAATAAAAGTGACACTCAAACGGATAGTTGATGGACAGGATTTGACTTTTATAAGGTAGATTATTTTTATGCATAAATGATTAATAACTTTCACACGTTGAAATCAACTAATTGTAATTGTTGTAATGACTGCAAATAGCTAATTAAGGAATACCCTGACATATTAACACCAGAAAATATTTGGATTGTTGGTATCACTCAAGAACCATCTACTCAGGAATATTATCTAGTGTTCTATCATGACATACGCTCACTATTGGACAGATTTATACGAAAGAATGAACATGTAAAGTATATGCAGTATAGTGACTTTCATGAAATCAAAAAAATCGGTTCTGGTGGCTATAGAACTGTCTATACAGCCAAGTATAAAGGAACTGCCAAGTATTCAGAAGAGGATATTAATATCCCAGAAACTGTTGTACTCAAATGCATTAAAAATATTGAAGATATGCCAGAATTGTTTATTTCTGAGGTAAACAACTTTTGGTATTATTATTATTGACTATAGTGAATATTTAATCTGACTCTGTATATTTCATTTTTTATTAAATAGTTCGCCAAGTGTGTGACTGATAACTGCCTTCAAATTTATGGAGTTACACAATATCCAAAAACAAAAGAGTACATAATTGTTATGCAATATGCTAACAGAGGTGATCTTTTGTCTTATTTGGGTCAAAATATTAACACATTGACATGGAGGAAAAAATTACGCTGTTTGTTTAATATTGCCTATGATCTGCAGGCTATCCACAAGGCAGGATTTGTGCATTGTGATCTTCATGCTGGAAACGTTGTTCTGGATGATGAGCTATTGCCTGAAAAAATTTTTCAGTTCAGTAATCCATTCATATGCGATTTTGGTCTCTCTCGATCTGAGAATTCATGTAATAGTAAACAAAATTCAACCATTCGAGGCGTTTTACCCTTTATTGCACCGGAAGTCTTTCATACTTGCAAATTTACTCAGAAATCAGACATATTAATATATGCGTTTGGTATTACTATATATTTGATTGCCTCTGGCGAACCACCTTTTAGAGATAGAGAATTTGATAGAAACTTGATATGCGATATTATGGGCGGATTGCGACCATCGATACCTGATACAGCACCAGAAGAATATAAGAAACTTGCTGAGATGTGTTGCGATGCTGATGCTAACAAGCGTCCAATTATAGACAATCTATACGGGTTGATTCGAGAGCTGCTAAATGGTAATTCTAACGACTGCATATGGAAGACTATTTATCGTAATTATGTCAGACCCTTATCAAGTCTTGAGAAGGAGAGTAAATATTCGAGTAAACTCTTACCTACTGAAGATTTGCCCAAGCCAAGAAACAGTTATGATTCAGTAGAACAACAAATGATTACATGTTTACGTTTCAACAATCAATTACAAATATTAACGTCGCCTATTATATCATAATTAGTGACTCAAATTTTTGAATAGACTTGTAATTTGAGTGGGGGTTAATAAAAATCCAAAGTTGAGCGCTTAATTTGTATTAGTATCAATTAGCTCTTCACTCTTTTAGTTGATATTTAGAGCTATTGTGACAAATTAAGTCAAATATAGATTCTATAATTTCTATGTTCTTCCACCCTGCATTCCCATTTCTATATATTTATACCTAAAACGAAGACATTGAAAAGACAAGTATTTGACGCGCGCCAACCACAATTTGAAGTCACCGTTATTACAGCATTATCATAATTATTAAAGTCAGACTCCTAACTACTATATAGCAAAGAAATCTTTACTTCGAGACATGGGTGCACAGCAAACCGTGGGCTAGAAGGTTTGTTAGAGAAACGACAGAAGTAACATGCCACGTCGCGTTCCAACACCGGGCACACACTCCAATGCCCGTCTAAAGCCGCACGAAAAAGTGCCCCTGCTGGAGTTGTCAAAAAGATCCGCGCGTAAAGTAAATGTCGGCATTGCACTGTTACTCTCTTTTGATGCCGCATGAAGTTACAATGACAATTGGTTAAGACGTTTCCATAATAAGATATTGAAGGGTCTTTTTTATGCATGAAAGTTACGGGCCCGATTATATATAGACTACACTTTGCTTTGAATGTTGGAATTGGATTTAGCAAATATAACCTGTTGACATAAATCTTGTTTATTGATGGGTCTTTGTTTTTTTGTTTTTTTTGTTATTGACTTAAGACTATAAATAAATATATAGATAGATATATACGAATGTGAAAACACTCAGAATGGTCATCATACAGGATGTTCTGAAACGACATAAATAAAATTGTGGTGTAAAATTCAAACACCTAATTGTCATTCGAGGCTTGCGGGTCTACAAAGACATCTGTAGCCCAATCTTCAAAAGTTACACTCAAAGGCCTAGGCTTAGGCGAAGACTCAACATCACGGGACCGCGGTTGATTATCATTTTCAACTGCTGTAGCTGGCCCAGCCCCGGTAGAAGTAGATGGTTGATCATTTGATTGAGCGTTCGGAGCAATATCTGGCACGGGTTGCAGCGTAATTGATTCACTATTTGGTTTAGGACGCTCAGGATGAAGAAAGTAGATCCTGTGAGGATTATTAGGATCGCTATCTGCAGCTGCTTGCTCTTGTTGAATGCGCTCATCGGCTGCCTGTTGGGGTTCATAACGGCGGCGAAAAGTGAAAGTATGCCATTTATCAAATAGCCTTTGCCGTGCACTTGTTTCTTCACCGGCGTTTTCTTCATCAGACTGCATTGCTTTATCGCCCTTTCGATTCATGCCCAGTAAAGCGCGATAGAATCCAGGAGTGCTATCCACCTCGGCTTTAGATCTTTTCACTGGTAGCCATAACCACGGGAGCGCCCCAATCAGGGCAGGAGGTCCGTATCTCCTCATGCCAGTGTTCAAAATTCCAGGAACCAATGTCATTGGTGGTTGAGAGTAATCGGTATAGAGATCAGGAACTGCGTGGTATAAATCATCATCAAGTATGCCCTTAGGACAAAACGCTTGCTCTGAACTATCATCATTGTCATTCTCTGACGAGGCTGTAGCTTTCCCATTACCCTGTCCACTTTCGGGCGTATGCTTTTTCACTTTAGCATCTTTGGCTTCTGCGTCACGAATAAGTTGAATAGGGATGCTGCTTGTAAATCTGTGAAATGCATAAGTTACAATACTTGCGTAAATTGCTGTTATGAATAGCAGCGGCGCAAGGAGTCCAGCAAGAACGTAGTCATTGCGAAGACTAAGGAAGCCTATCATCATTATTTGAAAAATGTAAAGACCGATAATGATACGATGGAATATCAGCGACCATGCTTGTCCAGCCGATTCATAAGGTTGGAAGTAAACTATAAAATAATTAATGAACAGAGAGTAATAATTATCCATTAGAATCAATTGAATCCCAATTGCTACTATCTTCTTTACAGGTTTACCATCACGTACCATACAACAGCAAGTATTTGTAACAGAAGTATCCAATCCAAAAGTAAATAGCACCAAAGAACAGAATAGAAGGATATATGGCTGAGTATACCAGGCAAACGATAAATATAAACACGACTTCAGGGTATATTTCATAAAACTTCATTATAGGAGGTGTGCTAGCTTCGGCGTAATCACGAGGTGTTTTTGCCATGAACAAACGCATAAACCATGCAGGAATAATTTCTTTAAATTGAGCCAATTCGACAGGGAACATTCCGATGCCTTGGAGAATAACAACGTTTACAAAGAATGGTGCGACCTAATACGCGAGATATGGAATGTGTAAATAATGAGGTCCATCATCAACAGAGAACAAGCTTGCGAAACACGGCGTCCTTACCTCTGGTAACGTGCTAGCAAGAATTGGACCTATCTTTCTGGGTTCTGTCAGGATGTCATCGATAGAGATAGACACAGTTCCAGCAACAGTGAAAACGAGGAGGACGTTCACCAACAAGAAGAAGAAGTATCTTTACACCGTATATATCCAGTAAGTGATTGTAATAAAATTAGTTAACCTCGTAATCATTGAATTAAACTTACTTTGAAACAGCGGACAATTCAATGTAACTGCGAGCTTGCAGTCCCTGAATTCTGCTCAAATCTGCATAAAATCAAATTGAATACCGTTTTAGCGATAATCTTCGGAAAAACCAAAAGCTATGTTAAGGATTACTTACATATCATAGTAAGTGGTAACATGGCATTGAATAAGGTGACCGCCAACGTGGGCAAGGTACCCTGAATAAAACCTTTGATAATTTCGTTTTTATCAGCTAATTGAGCTAGCCATGGGAAATATTTTTCCAAAGTGTTCAAATCCAAAAGTGCAGCCAACGACGTTAAAGGAATGGCCCAGAAGAAAATGATCAATAGAACAACAATTTGAACTAGTACTTCGCGTACAACGGTCTCCCGTTTACGGAAATTGAGGTTATCCCAGTGGCTACGATACCACGGATAAACCCATTTAGTATGAATCAATGTATGTTGATTAGACCATAAATCGGATGTTTAAAACTTACATGTCGCGAGGCTCGGGGGCAAGCACAGCATGGCAATAGAAAGGCTTTGGATAAATAAGTGTTTGAGCGGCAATTTGCTAATATTGAAAAAGAATATAATAACGTTCAATGAATGCAAGTCAAAATGTTGTTATCTCTTAGTCCGTACCGTAGCACACTGCTTACCGCACTAGACATATTAGCGAAGGTAACAAATCCGACGGAAGTTGGAATATATGCACTTCGCCTTCCTTGTTTAACAAGATCATCATAGTATTGGAACTGGGCACTATAATAGTCAATAGAGTCAACCTTCTCCCCGAAAAGACCCAAGAATCCAGTTCTGACAGTCGGCCTCTCTTGCTTGAGGTTATTCGTATTAGGATCGATGGCTCCAGCCTCAGGATCATCTTGAGGATTAGTCGAAGTCTTGTGTTCAGCCTCTTTCAACAACGCTTCAGGATTGTAACTTTCATCGGTGCACGGGTTGCCTAACCATTTCGTATAGGCTCCTTCAGTTTTCCTTAATTGTTTAGTACGCTGCTGAATAGCATTTCTCAATCGACGAACGTGTTTATATACGACAGCACTCTCTACTTCGCCAATACCAAGGGATTCATAGTATTTGGCGAGTTTTGCATCATCTTGGAGTTCTTTCGGAATGGAAGTAACCATAACAGTTCTTGCAACAACCGTGTTTCTTAATTTCAAATAATATCTTTGACGGGCATATGAAAACGATTTGTAGTTGTAGTAGACAAAGACATAGACAGCAATCGAAACGATCCATGTGAGGAGAGCGTATGATAAGACGAGTACATATGGCTCGGTTTCTAGTAAGACAGGGTCATTCGGATATGGAATACCAATGCCCCCGCCTTCTTGCGGTGTCTGTCCTGGATCCTCTGGTTTAAATCTGTAAATGTGCATATATATCCAGATTGGAATTCGAATAAATCCAGCAGCTATAGCGCAGAAAAGGTACAGTTTGAATGATAATCGGAAGAAACCGAGAAACTATTTGTTTTAATGCAAAAGGCGAGACATAACCAAAGATGCACAAGATGTGGGTTATTAGATAGCAAATCCTCAAGGATTAAACCGCGCTTGGTTCATTACTTACCACAGCCGCATCGAATCCGACTTTATCAAGTATTTCGTTTTCGGGAATGCTGAGCAGTGGCTTAATCCATCCAAAGAAAGTTGGCGGGAGCGGGGTCGGAGTATAGCTATGACGGTATCGACGTTATTAAGGTTATGCGTGCAGAATTCGACTAGCATCTTTGTACGATAAGATACAAACCCATGGAGCCTAAGTCGTGGCGCAAATAGTGTGTTCCAACGCGGCCGCACCCAGCAAAATATGAGGAAGCAACTCAAACCAATGGTTGTCGCAACAACGAGCTGTGTGCTTAGCATCACATCATTGGCTATTTATGATTCCAAGAATGCACGTACAATGCACAAATACAATTGATAATGAATGACTTTGAACGCGATATAATGGGTCGTTGACTTACAAAATAATACTACTCCGCGGCCAATTCTGCCAAACAAACACTCTGACCTACCTGCATTGTCAAGCGTATCGCCTGGAACGTGACCTCCATTACCAAAAAGATCAACTAGAAATTGAGCGAGAAAGGGAAGCGGTTTCTCGTCGCTAGTGGATGTCATTATACATGAGAGGTATACTGTATGTTGTCTGCTAACGTTTCGTCGTAGTGAAAGTTTTTCTCTTTAATCATCATTACACAAAAGATTGTCATTGATTATCAGTTCTAACGGGAAGATCTGGAAACTATCAAGTTTATAGTATGTCGCACAAACTATCGGATATTAAATACCGTAATACAAGGCGTAAATGATAATAATAGCCTTTTAACGAAAATCACGGACCACAGCGATTAACAACCTAATGAGTGATGTAATTGCATTACAAAAATTGCAATTTGTTAGCTATCGTGTCTACGAACTTACTCAGCGCCTACGAAGATTCGAGTTATACAGCCTAAAAGCTGTGTCAAAAATCAATCCACATACGAACTGTTCTTAAAAATTAATCATTCGAAATAGAAAGCGCAAGACTACCGCTATTAGATATAAATATCTTGCTTCATTAACGAGAAATAAATTTTTAATTTTGTTTATCCACGCATTTAATATTGTTATATAACATGGTTTTACATCATTATGATAAATAGTACTCCACATATTGTCATCAGAAGTATCTGGTCCACTTCTTTCATGGGATTGACAAAAATGACGGGGCGTCCGTCTAGACGCTTGTCGGGATCAGCATCTCTCTGTAAGCCTCTTATATTCCTCTGGTGTCGTAAACCACCCAAAATGTGGCACACCAAACCTCTATCGAATCGCCCATCTAAAAGGTCGTTCAATTAAATCCGTAATTTGCGACTTCTGGTGCAAAACGTTTCGAATGGTGATTGCGCGAATTCATTGAACCATTGTCGTGCAAATTGTTTTCAGCATGAAGAACGCCAAATTGTCAATATTTGATAAAAGATTACAATTGCGGCTGCATAGCCGGTAAAGAATTGAAAATTTGCTAGTCACAATGTTAGGAGTGTTGTCGTTCTGCGAAAAATACTATTATAGATTGTGACCTGATCACAGTTAATACTAATACTGTTTATCTAGGCGATTTACAGTAATGAGATAATACTATTAGAAGGGGCTGAAGCTGAAACGCTCGTAACTATCTATTCACGTTCAGTAATGCCTCCCCATTCTCAATAGTAATAGGATACCAAGAATTAAACCATTATATATAGCCCTTCTAGCCCAATTTTATGCTATACTAATACTGGATGGGCTAGAGACCCAGCTAAATTAGCAATTTAGCTGAGTCTCTTCATGCAAAATTAGCATAAAGGTGATTCTTAGCTGTAAACAAATCTCTGGTTAAGTCTTACCTCACAGAGGTGAGACTTAGCCAGTTCGATCTCAAATTCTTGATTTAAGAATTATTGAGCATGCCAATAATTTTTCGTTATACAGGAAACCATTTTATAGACATCTCCTTTACGCAATTATAGAGACACTAATAATAATAAAAGAGCTTTCGAGAAGTTCATGCTCAACATAGAAAAGGAATATAGAGAGCGGGTTAATGCAAATAAAAATTACGATGTGAAGTTGAGGATCTGAAGTTGCAAGTGCAGGAGGCGGAAAAAAAGCTTGCATCCATTGAATCGAATTTTATTCGATAAGAAATGGTGCATCTCAGAAAAATTATGAATTAGCTGGTGCACTTCTTCCTTGCGCTTCTGCCTTGCCTCTATCTCCTTCTGCAAGTTCAATGGTGTGTCAAACCTTAGCCGAATTGCAAGAGGATCCTGCCGAGAGCAAATACAACAAATTCACCTTTGTGGAGGTAACTATTAATTACCATCGATGCATTTTTCACATCATCAGTATATCGTCCAACAATCTTAGACACGTCTTGGACACTGCTACCAGAGTTAAATAGTACTAGATGTGTTGAGTGAATGTATTGAGTCTATGATACTTTTGCGTTACATATACAATTGAAAGTGGAGGTAAGCATAGATCCTCAATAATAATTAATTTGCTTCTCTCAGATGAGAAAGCTCTTGTACTAGGAATTCTTGTAACTAAAACTAATATCCTCATAGTAAGGCGCTCTTGGATCATACTGTATATACATACGCAAACTATCAGGCATATCATTACACATTTTATACTGCGCCCAATTATTGTAGCACAAACCTCATGAATCACGGGTGACGTAAATCAATATCACGCACCAAGTTTTTTTTTTTTTTTGCAACAAGCACAATGTCTAACGAGGAAGTGTTCACCCACGCGATTAAAAAATATAACACCAATGAACTCGTTAAATATTTACAGAAGAAAGGTCTAAAACTGGATGATGACGACTTTACGATTATTCGTAAGGAAAAAATAGCAGGCCTTGATTTTCTTGAATTGACTAAGGAAGAGTTTCGCAGTATTGGATTTGCACTGGGTCCAGCTACAAGACTTGTAAAATTTGTTACGGAACTCAAAGAGGCAAAAGCACCTCTTCACGAACAAAAACAACCAGGTTTCCAGGAAAATGATAAATTTCAAACTGCAGAAACTAACAAGGTTACGGAACTCAAAGAGGCAGAAGCACCTCTTCACGAACAAAAACAACCAGAAGGTTCCCAGGAAAATGATAAATCCCAGACTGCAGAAACTAACGAGGTGAAATTCATTACGGAACTCAAAGAGGCAAAAGCGCCTCTTCACGAACAAAAACAATCAGAAGATTTCCGGGAAAATAATAATTTGCAAACTGCAGAAACTAGCGAGAAGATTCATGACCCATGTGTTAATATATCAACTACAACATCTGAAAGAAGCTTGAATGAAACTTATTTGCCCGAGATTGCCTCTCAGCGTCTTCGTTATTATGGTAAAAGATTTGCGAATATATTATTTATTAAAACAATACATCTTTTTTATGACTTCACTCGCATTTTAATAGAAATTTGGAATCGACCATATGTTGATTGGCCGTGTCTTGAAGAATTTTCAAATTATTTACATGATGTTGCAAAAGATCGCGTGCACAATTCATTTAAAATGGAAATCAAAGTTTTGCGAGAATTATTTACAAAAGATCATCCCGCACAACTTTGTCTTACATACTTGGAGGCTCAATTAAAGGTGATGCTGTTTTGTTTTATGTATGAAAAAAGAAACAGTCTGAGGACCGTTTATCTACGCAGGCTGTGTGCTTGTAGGCAAGCTGTGTGCTTAGTGGGCGAGGTGCATCCTTGTTTGTATATTAGTCCAATCTTTGGGCTAATTCAGAGTGATTTCGTGTCTGATTGCATTTTAGCGAATAAAAGTTTACTAGTATTAGAGATTACGCTCTTAATGCAGGCAGGGTTTTTCCTTGTGAGACGAGATGTATGCTCAGTGAGATGGGCGTGTCCTTATCTCCAAAAGTGCAATCTTCCAGACTGTTTCATATGCTTTGTATTTTAATGTTTTCAATAATTATTTTCCCATTTGTTAATTTAAGATGCGACAGATACCACGGAAAATACAGAAGACTTGTAGAAGAAAAGTAGCAAAAGCAATAAAACTACTTACCAAGAAAGAAGTTGTAAAAGAAGAAATAGAAATTGCAAAGGTTCGGGTTTTTAATTCTGTTATTGTTTGTGATTACACATTACATTATACTTATTTCTTGCCAATATTTTCTAGAATTCCGTTATTGCAGATGGGTACCATCGGATAAATAAACATTACGAAGATTATCATGAGGCAAGCACTCAACTCGTTAAGCGAAATTTATCTGATGATGGGATTAATGAGCCTCTAGCTACAAAAAAAGTGAGAACCGCGAAATAAACTAGCTTTTTCCAAATCATGTATCATTAGTTTAGTTATTCATTCTTAACAAGATACATGTGGATTGTAATTGCATGATTAGCATATATATGTACGTAATGTAAAAATAAAGTATATCATGGTAGGACATGATTTTTTGCTCGATTAGCGAAACACAAATGCATTTAAAGTTTTAACGAGACCCAATTCACGAAGATGCTTAGGAATAACTACATAGTCTTCGTAATACCAAACATACCTTAAGACAATCCAGTTCTTTTCGCATTATTCTTTCTTCGCCATTATGAAAGAATCCTATATATTTTTCGTGCTGTTCTCCTTGTACTTCGCTTGCAAATCCATATTGCGGGTAATAAATGTCAAGTTCTAATCCAGTTGGGTGATTTAAAGTTTTAAGAAAATCAGGTGGACGTATCTTAGATGGCGGTCCAAGATATTTTGACATAATCTCTCGACACAATCTCTCACGTTTATATTTAGAGCAATATGGACATCATGTATTACATGAGAAAGGGTAGCATACCATTGATGGGTTTTATTGCATTTCCAGAGTAACTGACTCTTGCAATTGATATAAGAATCTGTCAAGCATTCCCCGGCTCGACTATATGCAATAGATTTGGCTATACTAGCACAAATGCGGGTACCAACAGTTGTTTTTAATACCACTGATGGAAGCGAGCCATTCATGTGATTTGGAACATCTCTATCGTAAATGCGTTGTATAATTGATGTAAACATCGTGTATGACTATAAATTACCATAGCTTTGCAAATTATAAGTTCACCATTTTTTAGATACTATGCGCGTCTTCTTTCTGCACACAAGTCGACTGCGGCATCTACCAATTTTGGGCCATTCATTCAATTTTCCTCGAGACCGTTACTACATAGTTTTCAAGGAAATTGTATGCACCTTTATATAAATAGATAAACTTGAATTAGTTACCTATCGTTAAGATAGCAGTATTATACACAATAGTAAGACTATGTGAATGTATAAACACGAATCGTTTTTTATCGTCAACTCGGTAGGTTTTTTAAATTATTCTGAAGAGTTCAAACAGAAAGTTGGGTATCAAAAGATGCACAATAATTAGTCTGTTAGTAATCTATCAACGATTAAAGTACTGAATACAGAATAAAAAGGTCCGTTAGCAATCAGTGGTAAACAAATGAATCATGATATTTGATTTTGGGTTAAAACGCTCAAAAGACCGTGTTGCTAAATGATCTTTGAAAAGCAACTTACTTAAACATTCCAAACTTACTCCGCCAATGTTTTCTCAAATGTTTATAATGAATGAAAAAGCGAATATAAAATTTTCGCGACTGGTGCTGGGAAAAATCATATATTTATTACTAACTTCAACTGGGTGGCCCCTGCCAATTAACAACGCTTTTTTCTCAATAGCTCTCATATTGACGTCCGAATAAGTATCTGTTAATCAGATAAACAAATATGGAAAAGACATTTATTATTCACTTCTTAAACAACTTTTTGAGTCAATTTTATTTCTATCCCGGCATAAAAAAAATCTCATCGCAATTTTAGTCTATCGCAATCGTGAAGAATGTCATTACTCCTAAATGGGAGAAATACGCCAATCGATAATTGTCTTTTGTTTGTTCGAAATGTACAAGCAAATTTCGTTATTGCAGTATCGGCATATTCGATCGCTTTACCATAACATGTCTAATAAGCATCACTTTAATGCATCACCCGATACTATATACAGGACGTTAAGTAAAAGTTGTTATAGGTATGCTCGTTTAAACTTACATTTGTATCGCTGTACAATAATAGTCTGCCGAAATGTCCTGCGAATGGATAACAGTCTTGTTACAATTATTGACGATGACTTCGCTTATTATCGTCTGTTTCAACGACCACTCAATTGGGTAATGGTATGTGCAGCGAAGCTTTGTGAATTATAGTTACTGTAATAATAGAGTTCGTCTACTAATGGTCCTCAACTGAGACAACTCAGTCCAGAACTGAGATAGTCTTCAATTATTGTCTCAGTCCAGAACTGAGACAAGTCTCCAACCTCTACGATAGAACATTATCTGTGTGTCTCGACCGAGATCGTTTGATTGTAGTCCAGTTTATTATTATGGTATGTTGAAACGCGTAGTTGTGAGTAAATATAAAATTGCCATTTTTTATTATATAATCCGACTGAAAAAAGGAAAATTTTCGCTGTGTAACAATGTCGGGTTACTGTACTACAAAATACAGATAGTAATAGTACAAGAATGTTAATGTGCCCCTGATCGAAATCTTTACTTCAGAACCGTGTCGTTAGTTGCAATGGCTCGTATATCA